TAAAATAATAGGAGAATGAATAAAGTGCTCAAACAGGTTTTCAGTTAACACTGACTAACAGCATCAGTTATTATTTGAAAGGAGGATGATATTTTGCTGTTCAAAGTAATGAACACCCAGCAAAAATGCCCATCCAAATACAGGTCTGAGCCAATGGTCAGTTGGCAGGAAGTAAGATAAAATGACAGAATTCCAAAGGTTGTCTTGAGCCAAACCAATATTTTTCAGGCTTCAAAGAAACTTGATATGAAAGGTCTTGAGCCAAACCAATATTTTTCAGGCTTTAAAGAATTTGACATGAAAAGTACAAATAGCAAAAGTTTCTAAATGGGTTTTAAATTAGGAGAAATGTTACATTTGAAAAGCAGACAGTCAGTAAGATTATGCCAAATCATGAAAAATTATGCAAGTTCTGTGAGCTATAAAGTAAGTGTTTGAGGCACATGGGGGTATTGCAGGGAAACAAAGTTATGCTTTTTATAACACACTCGGCTCATTTCAGTATTTAACAAGTAATAGTGGGACTTGTGGAAATTGAAACTGTATTAGTGATCTATTAGTGATAAACATATTAAAAAAATGGTGATAAATACGAACTAGGTGGTGCAACTGGCATGGGTCATCTAAATAAAAATCAAATTCTTTGCAAGTCTGTGATTTTCCTCCAGAGTATGTTGTTACCATAGAAGAGCGAGGGTTACCAGTATTGCAGTACTTTATGACTATTACAAAAACACTCAATCTTTTGATTACTCTTGAAGGAAAAATGGATTAAGTTGCAGAACTTTGGAGGACTATAAATTAATCCAAACTAAAGAGAGAGCACCTGGAATCATATGAATTGTATGAAAACAAGCTATAAATAGAATTAGAGAGGCAAATTATGGCAACTGTAGAAGCAAAATAAATCACATTAGAAGAAGTAGCTTGAAGTATTGGTAAAATATAAAAGACTTACAGCAACTCTAGAGGTATCTTTCAACCTAAATAATTCTGTGATCTGCACTGAGCAGGGAATTGGACCTGATTGACATGATGATACTGTGATTTGAACTACTAACACGAGAAAAAGATATAAGCATTAGTATGGATTATTACCTTTTATGGCTGATCTATTATTTAACAAAATACAGCTGGGAAGTGGAAGAACAGAAGTATTTTAAAATGTAGAGGCTACGTAGCTAAAAACTGAAGAAATGTGTGGATAAGAAGATTGTTCAGTTTCACTATCTTCAGGGGAACAGCTACAGCCCACATCAATCAAGAATGTGACAATGTTTTTGTAATGTATATGCCTGCCTGTCAACCTGACTGAGTTTTGCTTGTCTACTGTATCACTGATTTTGATTGCAACTTACTTCCGAGTAAATGAAAACAATATCCTGCTATCCAGAATTGCCATTAAAGTTTATTAAACTGCACCGATTGAAAATAGGACACGATCATTGCCTATTAAGAATCTTTCAATGGGCACTGAAAAACAAAGTAAATCAGTAGGATAACAAAGCTGTCACTTGCTTCTATGGCTGTTGCAGAGGGTTATTTACTCCTCCTGGTTACTGATAATTTATCCTTCACTGGTTTTGTCCGGGACAAACGCAAACAGTTGCTTTGAGTTTTCCTTATACTGATGTCTAATGGCTGTGCTCTATCAGAAGTTTGTATGTTTGGATTAATTAGACTTATGCACCTTGTCCACTTCTAATTTTATGTAAACCGTTAACAACATTGTTGAAAATAGTGATGACCATATTGATAGTTTGATTTTTTTTTTAAGTTTTCTTAAATAAAACCAATTACATGGGTTGTCTCAACACAACACTCTGTATGTCAGAATTATCTTGTCAACAGTTAGTAACTGGCAAAAGTCCTGAAGCATGAGAGGCTTCTGTGACCATTTCAAAATTTCTAACTATAATAACAACACATTCTTTGATCTGTACTTGTGAATATTTCATTTTATGACTTTCCATTTGTTACCCATACTTTCAGTGATAGTTCCCTTGTTGGGTGTCACACTGTGTAGTTTTACAAATTAAGGAACTCTTCATTTTCTCTGTGAAATAACCGTATGATATTTTCAGTTCCTTCTTAAAGAGTAGTTTTCTGTACCTCAAAGTGCGCTCATTAACACTTCACCTAGGAGTTATTTTTGCACAACCAAATTGTCTGTTTTGCCTTGATGAAATACATTTTGTTTGTTTCTGATCTTTATTCACAGCAAATCTTTTGCAACTTCATTACTGTTCAAACAACGGATCACATACAGTTGAAAGCTGAAATTTGTATTCTTCTGGTTTTTTGCATATTTTAGTCTAGTTTGCTGTATGCTGAGAGCTTTTATAGTTATTGCAGGCCAATCTCATTTTCTTTGAAACCTTAAGAGAGCCCCTGGAAATTCTTATCCTTTGAATGGTATGGAACAATCTGCTGGGGGCTTTTCAGGATCACAATGCCAAATAGTGAGTCAGATCACTCAATAAGCTTTATCAATAACAAGACTTTCCAAATGGCTGTCTTTACACCATTGTCAGTGGTGCTATATTTAATAAAAGTTCACCTTTTTGTATGCACCTTAGTATTTCTGCTGTTTCTCCTCAAAAGAATTGGAGCAAATTTCCTTCTCTAGCTTAAGACTGGAGTTCTTGTGTTTCTTCTCTTGGATAAGATTACTGTTGCTTCTTTTGCCACACTGTTCCTACCCCCTTCTCAGTTAGGGGGAAAGGGGAAAAGGATGGAACCTCAAACATTCTTTCATACCATTCCCAAGCTGAATGTTTCTTATCTAGACTTCTGACTAATAGAATCATAAAATGGTCAGGTTGGAAGGGACCTTAAAGATCATCCAGTTGGAAGCCCCCTGGGGGCACCTCCCACCAGACCAGGTTGCTCCAAGCCCCATCCAGCCTGGCCTTGAACCCCTCCAGGGATGGGGCAGCCACAGCTTCTCTGGGCAACCTGGGCCAGGCTCTCACCACCCTCACAGCGAAGAATTTCTTTCTAGTATCTCATCTAAATCTCCCCTCTTTCAGTTTAAAACCATTACCCCTCGTTGTATTGCTCCACTCCCTGATAAAGAGTCTCCATCTGTCCCCTTTAGGGACTGGAAGGAGCTCCGAGGTCTCCTTGGAGACTTCTTTTTTCCAGTCTGAACACCCCCAACTCACTCAGCCCGTACTCATAGGAGAGGGGCTGCAGCCTCTGATCATCTTTGTGGCCTCCCCTAGACGTGTTCCAACAGGTTCGTGTTCTTCTGTGCTTGAGGACTCCAGAGCTGGACACAGAGCTCCAGGTGGGGTCTCACGAGAGTGGAGCAGAGGAGCAGAATCCCCTCCCTTGACTAATACTTCACGTCTGCACCAGACGTAGCACTTTCCTGGTGGCTTCAGGCTGCTTTTCTTTATTGCAGCTTTCTGAAGGCAAATAATACCCATCTTCTTGTAAGAAAACTTATGCTCAGTATTTTTACTAAATTTATGAACTTTTGCTAAATCTTTTTCTGTAAGTGTAGTATAATAGATGGGAGAAATATGAGTTGGCTTCTTGAATTAAAAAATATAATCCATACCTGCAGGAAGTTCTTCTAAAAGTGGTGTTTATACAGCATAGTAATGAAATAGAGATAGATGTATTCTTCCAAATCTATTAAAAATTAATTGAAATACACCTGATCATAACAACTGTTCCTTGTTTAAATAACCATATCTTAGAGAGTTACTGCTGGATTTTCAGTAGCGTGGGTAGGATCACGGATATTAATGTAGCATTCTGGCAATGTATGACTTAATCATGCAAGTGTCATATTTCTAGGACTTTGACACAAATATACTGAAATGATTTTTAGTGCATGCAAAAGTGTTCTAACCTTAGGGATTTTAAACTGTTCTTAAAATAAGACTTGTTATCCTTGCTCTGAATTGATTTTTTTCAGCCATTAGATTTACTTGGTCATCAACAGTTATGTGAGTTTGGCTTGCTTATATTTAAAATAATTTTCTTTCCTAGCTGGTGAGCACTAAGCAGAGAACCAGCTGTCTTTGCCAATAAACACTGCAGACAAGGAAATATTCTTTGGAGGAAATTAGCACACTAGAAATCTTACCTGAAATGTTTAATGTTTCAGAAATGTAATGTTGTGTATTATGTTGTCATGTATTATAATTTGTTCCGTATATGAAAACAGCTTTGAATTATCAATTATGTAGACACTTATTTTTGCGTAATTAGTAAAAACTCTTAAAAATGATTAGCAGTTACTGAGCCTTCAGTAAAAGTCCCATCTAAAATATCTGTATAGTCCACTTTAGTTATTATTTAAAAGACAACAAATTCTTACCTGTATATAAATCACATGCTTGTATAGTGCTTGGCTGTTTTCCTTAATCTATTTAATTTGTTATTTATCTTCACAGTTTAAGTTCTTCAAGACAGGAGTTGTCTCTCTGTCTGTCCTTTCTTCCCTTCTGTCAGTAGAGTACCTAATTTAATGGTTCTAATGATGTCTGAAATGCTGGGATTTACTGCAATAAAATGTATTCATTAAAGAGCAGCAGGGCTGTACAGTTATTTTTTTAACAATTTCTTAGGCCTTAAAGTATTTCTTTGTTTATTTTTTAAACAAGTAACTGAATTTGAAGCATTTTAGATAACAAGACTGTCCAAGTAAGTCTTACAATACAGTAATGGTGTAGTTGTATATAAAAAGGTGTGAATATATAAACAGGAACACTTTTTATATTTTATTAGTTACCAGCTGCCAAGAATTCAAGGACCTTCAACCTGGAGTGGATTTTTAGATGCAGTTCTTACATAAATCTAGTCTAAAACTATGATTTTTATTATTTTTTAATGCGATTTTGAAAAAATAGAGAAAATGTTAGGTAATCTTTTTGAAATTGAAGATACAGTTTCGCTGGTATCTTTGGGATGTTACTTGCCAATAGTAAAGCTTATTAATGAAGTAAACTGCTTGACTCATCCTAGTATGTATTTTAAAACAGGTGAGGCTAATGATAAGGATGTTCAGGTGGTGGAACTTCCCATTGTTGACAGCTTACACCCACGGCCACCTTATTTACCGTTGGCTGTCCCCGAAGACCTGGCTGATCGGCTCATTCGTGTCCATGGGGATCCTGCGGTGTGGTGGGTCTCGCAGTTTGTGAAATACTTGATTCGTCCACAGCCTTGGTTAGAAAAAGAAATAGAGGAAGCCACAAGGAAACTTGGTTTCAAACATCCAGTGATCGGGTGGGTATTTAGTTTTTTTTTTCACTGTCTGTGCTTTAATATCTCTATGTGGTCATTCCTGTTCATGACAAATTATTTTATGATGGTTATCCAAGAGCCTTAAGCATTTTGTGGGGAGAGAGCATGCTTTCTAGATGAAGCTATTATTTTTTAATTCTTGCATAGTACAAGTTGATTACAAGTACTTCTTCAGCATAGTTGTCTCACTATAGTTGGCAGATATGTAAAAGGCAGCTCAACAGAAGGTTTGCTTATATGTCCTTCCATATCTAGAAAGGTAATATAGAATTTCATTCTTGTAATTGCCTTACAGTTTGTATTCCAGACACTTTTCTGTCTGGGTCTTCTTTTCAAGTGCCTATAGGCTTAACGTTTGAGGAAAAAAGGCTAAGCCTACATTTTACATGCCACAGTCCACAACTAGTTTTATTGTTGGCTGCACCTGAATATGGTACGTGCCTTTCCCTTTCCTGCTGCTGTTGTCACTATTGTTGTTTCTTAGCCATAACTACAAATTGGAAAGGTCTCTATGGAGAGATACGGGGAGGAGGAAGGAAAGCACCTATGGGCAATGAAGAGCATACTGCTCTCTTTGCCAGAATTTTCCTTTAGTCCTTAATCTTTCTTTTTGTAGGAGTATACATTACTTCTGTCCAAATGTTAGTTGCCTTTTGACCATGGAGTCAATAGGCCACTTTTCCGGTCGCTGATCTGAAGGCTTGTTAGTTTTCAAGCAGATGGGGAAGATGCATTTCTAACTACCTTCATTCAAACTCCACGTTGTAGTTGGTGTCCCAATATACTCATGATGCAAATATTCCTATTTTGCTTTCAAACTGTATTGATCAAGCATTATCTAACTACCCTGGATAACTTAACCTTTTGCACAAAAGGAATACCTGGTATGCTATAATTAAATCTCCTTCGTTCTCTTCTTTCAGTCACCCTTTGCCATCCTTGGAAGATTATTATATTGCTTTCAAGAGCAAACTGACAGCTAAATTTATGTTGCCAGTGTATCTGATGGTTTTCATCCTTTCTGGTTTTACGTAGGGATTCAATTTAATATGCATTGTAAAAGCACCGGCATGAAATTTAAAGTTAAAATGTCAGTTGCTAAATTATGTGTTGTATTTATAAATTGAGTTCCTAGTTTCTGCCTTTTTCCAGTGTGCACGTCCGAAGGACAGACAAAGTAGGAACAGAGGCAGCATTTCATCCCATTGAAGAATATATGGTACATGTTGAAGAACGGTTTGAACTTCTTGCTCGCAGAATGCGCGTTGACAAAAAGAGAGTGTATTTGGCTACAGATGACCCTTCATTGTTGCAAGAGGCTAAATCCAAGTAAGATGAATTATGTTTATATTTCAGTTTGTTCCTTCTGACTAGCTTTACAATTTCTGACTTTTGCGTGCACAAATCTTAATATCATTATTTTGTTACCATTTAAACAGCTAAGATTGCATTTCAGCTTCCAGTGATTTTGACTTTTCTCGCAGAAATTATCTTTTTTTGGATGATTTTTGTATCCTAGATGTGGGATGTCTGAGCCTGTCATAGAAAATACAGCTGTTCAAACCTGGAAATGCACAGTATGGATGCATTTACTCCTAATATGTCCTACATTTTTCCATAAAAACTCATTGTTAAGTTGCATGTTTTACAAGGTGTCACTGAGATGACAAAACCTTCTGTTTAGTAAAATAAAGCAGATGGATATGGAAGAAAAATGTTCCATATTTAACTATATCTTTCTTGGGTTATGGTGTTTATGGGATATAAACAATTTTACAAATGCTTATTGCCATGACTCTGGAAACTTCGATAAGTATTTTGGGTACATTCAGTTTAAGCATATGAATGAAAGTTCACATTTTCCTTTTGAGTACTATTTATTTATCTGTCTACTGAAAAGCATCTATTTCTTTTTCCAAAATTTTATCTCCCTTGAACAGAAGAATACTTAGTTTTTCATTTAAGCAAGGAAATTAAGAGTTTTCAAAATCAAGTTAACTCAAAAATGGCAAATTTTTGAACTGTTTTATTCTTGGTAGACATGCTTGGAAAAATATATAAGATAATATACTGGATTACAAATTTTCTTTGACGTATACAAGGTAAGCAGAAAATGCTATTTTGTAGTAAGGGAATTTTCTACAGCATTGCAAACCTGTTTATTTCAATTGTGCTATTTCTATTTTTCTTTCATATCTGTAAAGGGCTGCTGTTTAAATTATGGAGTTTTGAAAAAACTAAATGAACATATACAACTCCAGACGATGGCAATCTAATCCTTCCTTTTTTGTATATGTAGAGACAAGAACAGTAGCAGAAACAATTATGATAAAATTACATTTAAAGTGCAAATCTGAACAATGAGAAGACAGGTAATACAAGATTGAGGTTATAATATTTCATTCATTACATTGTCCTAAAAAATTTTAATTTCTGCTCGTAACATAACAGAATTCAATATTACTGTAACAATCTTAGTTATGCCTTTTTTCTTTATTTGTGTTCAATTTTGAATCTTTGGCATGGTATACTTTAGCTTTGTGAATAATAATAAGATGTTACCTATGTAAACATGTCATCCCAAGTTTTCAGTAGCAATAAAAACTAATAGTGGAATTGTGACTTGCTTAGTAAAACAATACTGAATTTTATTAAGCATTGCAGTTTCTAAGGCAATTCAAAGTCCATTCCAAATCACACTTTTATTGAAATATGATAAGATATAGCTCACTAGTACAACATTAATTTTGTACATTTTCTTAATAATAGCCCTACAATCTGTAGGTGGTGAAGATTATTTTTTATGTGTTGCTGCTGAATTTTCAGTTTATAGTTTACACTGAAACATAATTTCCCAAGTTGCTTGCACCCTACTGTTGCTTGGAATTGAATAGAACTCATTTGAAACCTCCTGTGATTTCAGAGAAGGCAGGATGAAATTTGATGTTTCAGCGTGTAAAGGCATCTGAAGGGCAGGTTAAGGTCAGGTTTTGGTAATAAGGAACATTTTCTTTCTTTTGTTGTGAAGAAAACGACAAATGAGTTTACACCTGTGATAAAAGAGTTCTAGTCACATTGTGCTACCAAGCCTTGATGGAAGCAGCTGTCACATTGTACTGCAGTAGCTTCTGTTGCGTTCATTATTGGGTGCACTAATATTAGTAAGTACTAGATACTATATCTCTCTTTAAATAAGAGTGAGTGGCTGTCAAACAATGTTGGCATTTCAATAATGAGAATTTCGCCAACATTCACATGAATAGGCATGTTGTTTCTATTAAGAGAAGTATTTCAAACCACGCAGAGTCATGAAAAGAGAAATGTTTTGACTTAGTTTCAGAAACTTCCGTTGCAGTCGGTTGTCTACCATCTGCAAGTACAGTACTAAAGACAGTGGAGTCAGTACCATCAATTTGTAGACCGTTTGTGTTTGTTTTGCTTTCCAAAAGAAAGAAAGAAGTGATATATTTTCAGAATTAGGATGATACAGAACAACATGATTAGAGAGGAGCGTGGTTGAGAGTTCAACAGCTGTAATCATTATGGGATAAAAAGCACCTGACAATTTCTGGTAAGCAGAGGTCATGCTATTTGTCTTAGGTAAGTGATATGTTAGGGATGGTGCAAATTGCTTGTTCTTTGACTGATTTTTTTACTTTTTGATACAAAATTTTGGATTTTCTTTTATATGTGTTTCTAGTCTATAATATTATTGACGGCATCTTCCCTCTTAAAGGTAGAGTGTTCAAAATAATGCAGCTGAACATGCATGTAAATTCTTAAAAAAACATATTTAATACCTTGCTGGTTTATATATGAAGCTATTTTGGTCTCTTTTTCATGTATATGAGCAGTAAAATTCAACAAGTTAATGTCTTTTCTTCCTGTATACTATCTATAGTTCAGCTGTTGCAATGCCCCCCGCCCCTGAGCCATCGTATGCCTAATATATAGGATTCAGTAGTGCTTCAAAGTTCTTGAGTCTGATGAACAGCTCATACATTTTCCATTTCTTTTTGGAGCAAGACCTGAACAAAACATTCTTTCTTACTCCATCTGTTTATACACGTGCTCACACTCGTCTTTCAGAGGGAAGAAAACTTGCATGGCTTGTTCTGGACACTTCCCCAGAGCTAGCAGATTGATAGCAGGAGCCTGGGACTGGCCTTGGTTTGTGCCTGCTGCACAATGTAGTGATAAGCTCCAGTTACACAATGAGTTATTCAGCTTCTGAAACCATTTGGAACTTGAAATGGTCTCATAACTGTGCTTCATTTGTATCCTTATCTGAGGCCGGTAGATGCAGGAAGGAAAGATTTTAAACTCTCTCTTCTCTACCTTCTGCTGATTTCTTCTTTTCCCTTTTTCCTAGTGGGGAAAAAAAAATTAAATCCTTCCTGGCCTGTATATAGGTTTCAATAATCTATTAGGTAGCTTTACAAGAATTAGATGTTATTTTTTAGATATGTGGAGGAGATCAACTATATGTAATCTATCTGATACAAAGAAAAAAGTATTATGCCAGTTTCCATTCTTTGGTTGTATCTTCACAGTCTGCTCCTTTCCTATAAAGGAGCTCCTTCCTATAAAGAAGAGAATGTGTGGGTACTATCTTTGGAAAGCTGGGAGAGATCCTACAAAATACTGTATTTAGGTGATTTCTCTTGATAAGAGTATGACATCTTATTATTTATTATTCATTTACGACTGCATTCAGGAATCCTAGTACTAGGATCTTGCCTGAGTTCTGCTTAAAACAAACAAACAAAACATCTCCAAAAGGTTACAATGTAAGTATTACAGTAATCATAACATAAATACAGATAGAAAAGGGAATAGAAGGAAGCAATAGCTAACTGCAGAGAGCTTTGCAAGTTTCCTTTATTCTTTGTAGTCCTTGTGGTAAGAATAGCTTTAAGTGGAATCTAAAGCATTGTAGTGAGTGGGAAGGAGAATGAAACCTTGCCTTATGGAGAAGGTCAGCGGGCCACATATGGCTAAGCTTGAGAGAAGCCTGTATTTTTCTTTATGCTTTCTTTTACTGTACTTTTTCTTTATGCTCTGTTTTCAGCCTGGAGACAGGATGGTGGACTAGAAGATCCTTTGGCCATGCCAAGTATGGCTGCTATTATGCTCACATTTTAGAGTGTTTAAAGGAAACCTTTTTTCCCAAGCATGAATATAGCATGGTGTGTGTGGGACAACATAAATGTGCTTGTTTGAAAACTTAAACATGGGAGTAGATAAATACAAAGCAGGGATCACTGGTTTGAAGAAATAGGTTCTGAAACTGTTGATAAGGTGAATTTGGATCAGCTTTACAAAATGGAATTAAAGACCAGACTTAAAAGTATCTCAAGGACTGTTTCTGGAATAAGAGGAGGAAGGAGAGAAAATTTTCACTGTATGCATAAGAAGATGTGCAAATAATTCTGGTTGGGTTTCTTTGCTTTGTTTTTTAACTAGATCCAATATGACATTGGTGTGCTTCATTTGTTAAGTTATTAGACTGATCGTTTGCTTGTAAGAAATCAAATTCTTTAAGAAAGGTTGTTTTGTCTATACTGAGCATGTGAATTCTCATTTTTGAAGCCTGAAAGAAGTGATTAATTTTAACAGTATCCCTGATGCCAAGAACTTGGAAAGGGGTGTGCAAATATCTTTACTCTGCTCACTGTCCCTAGAAATGACACCTTCTGTTAAACTTTCTTCGTGTTGCTCCCCTCAGGGCTGTGTCACTGAATCAAGACTGCCCATTTCTGTTCCTCAGCTGGTTTTCTCAGTAGAGTATGACATATTTCCAGTTGTTCTGTACTTTTTTTGTTTCTTTTAAAAACCCCAACCCAATATCATTTACACAATGGAAGTAGAAATAGAATATATCACAAATATGGTGTTGTCATCTGTTGTATTTCAGAAGCTGGTTAAATATTGACAGAAAATGTTAGACATGAGAAGATAGGAAAGAAAATTATCACTGTGATAGAGTTCATCTTGAAAAAAAATTTCTTGATCCATATCCTTCTATAATTTCTCAGAAGGGATCTTATCAATTATTCTAAATGAATAATGTTTCCACCTTCTCTTCCTTTTTACTTTTTGGTTGGTTTTGTTTTGTTTGTTTGCTTTGTTTTGTTTTGTCTTGTCTTGTTTTTAATGTAACATGAACGTCCCCAGATGTTCATGATCAGGTGCAAGTTTAAAGTTGTCATACTATCTCTGGGAAATTCACCATGCGTATATTATTTCTTTGTTAGAGCAGGTGTTTCTCTTGGGAACATAAAATGCTACTAAAATCACTATGAAGATAAACGCAAATTCTTCCTCTAAAGATTCTTCCACTAAAATGTGGAAGTTTTGCTTACAGCTTTTTCATTGACACTTGAGATAAATTTCCTGATTTGGTAGTCATGAGTAGTGAATGTTACATGGGAAAGCTGGCTGTATTTGCCCATTTCACTTTTGGGAACAGTTTTCCCATAGTTTTGACATGAAAATGGAATAAATTAGGGATAGTCTTCCGGGAGGTCCTCATAATCTGTGCATGTTTACAGTGTGTCCAGAGTGGATGCAGCAGCTGCATTGTTGTATCCAGGTGTGTGCTGACTTCAGTATCTTTCCAAGAACTTGTGAGTGTAAACCTTATTTTGAGCTTTGCTCAGCACAGGGGTGTCAGGCTTTGAAGCGTCTAGTTAGAGGTCTGAGTTATTGTTGCTCCAGCATTAGGGCCTGCTCTATAGTCTGATTTTTTTTTATTAAACTATATAAGAATGACTAATTCTTCCAAATGTACTATTAGCTGCCTTACTGTCTTCTATAATATATTGCTTTATAATTATTAGGAAGTTGTAAATTTGAAAAATAAATTCTATTTTAATTACTTTATAATTAACCCTGTACTTCAAATTTTGAGTTGGTAGGTTTCTCACAGGAGTTGCACTTCATGATTGAAATATAATTATTGTGTAACAGCAATGTAATTATGATCTTTCTTAATTCACCTGTAATTTTTCATATAAAACTTATTTTTGGTAGGAGGTTGTCTGAAAATGTATTTAATTTGTGTTACTTTCCACTATTTATTTCAGATTTCAGTTTCCTAGTAAAGGAATGCAAATGTTTTGAGGAAGACTCACTGACATTTTTTTAAATTATTATTATTTCTTTCCAAGTCGTCGTTACATGTTAAGAACTTTCAATTTTATTTTTAAAATAATATAAAACAAGTGTTTATATTTCAAATAAAAATATTTCTACTTAAAGTATCGCTATTTTGCTTATGATATGTCAAGAAAGGTGTATTGACATGAAATTTTACACTTTTGGTTTTTTCCTTTTGACCATGAAATTGCAAAATTTCTTCTCCATATGGCCGTAATAACTATGAAAGACTTCTTTCATAGTTCTTTCTTTCATAGTTCTTCTTTCTTTCAGACTTCTTTCATTTTTTTTGTTAGTTTAGATTCATTTATTTAATATGTCCCTTTTAAAGGTTACTGATTTTCTTGTGCAGTGTCATAATCAGTATTTAATAGAGAGTATGGTAACAAATAAAATATAGTCTGTTAAAGACACGATCCCGTATGCTGTTTAGTAGTAAAGCAAGCGAAGTGGTCTGAATATATTTCATCTATAATCAGTAGGATTAGCAGAATGTGACATTTACTTCCTGATATTTTTTCACTTCTACAGTGTCAGATCTCAGACAGACTTACAGCATCATTTTATTTAATTTTATCTTTTCTGCGTAAAGAGAGGGCATTCTTGGAGGCAACATTCTAGAATATTCAGCAAAATTATAATTTATTCCCCATGAAGCAGAGACTCACTTAAAACAAATTAACAATCTTATCTTGCAGCAAAGATGATGCTTTATTTAAAAAAAAGAGGGGAAAAAAAAAAAAAAAGGACGTTGCTGTTAACTGTGTATTGTATTTTCACAGGTATCCAAATTACGAATTTATCAGTGATAACTCCATATCCTGGTCAGCAGGACTTCATAACCGATACACGGAAAACTCCCTGAGAGGTGTTATTCTGGATATTCACTTTTTGTCTCAGGCAGACTTCCTGGTCTGTACATTTTCATCCCAGGTAAATTGCAATACAAATACAATGCAGTGTATATACGTACCAGTTCTAAATCTTAGTTTTCTTCGTGCTCCTCTTATCTTATCCTCAGTGCTTTATCCTGAGAATTTCAGGGCAGAATTAAAGGCTTGGCATGCTATATGAACGCTGAAGAGGACTGTAAGCACTGGTTGATTGCTTCTCTTCAACTGAAGTTACTGGCTTAATTAAGGCATTTGAAATTAGCAAGAAATAATATTAAACATGTTTAAGAGTTCCTCGTTTTCCATAAAGTTAATGTGTAACTTGTATCCATTCATTTCTATGCAGCTTAGTTAAGGCATTTAAAATAAGTAATAATAATTTAAAACATGTTTTACACTTCTTAATTTTGCATAGAGTTAATATGTAACTGGTGTCCATCCATTTCTACGCATCATTGCACTCCGCTGCAGTTTAAACATGTCTGCTGTTGCCTTAGTTGATTTTGGGAGTGGAAGAGAATGAAGAGAGCATTTAATTTCTCTTCAGAGTCTATTAGATTTCTAGCAATCCAGCAGCAGCGCAATAAATGTGAATTCTGACCACTGTAATCCATAGAGACTTCTTGTTGCAGCTAATTACATGCTACAAGCTTCCTTTCCTGAGTGGTTTGATGAAGCAAGTTGGAATCCATTAGAAAACCGAATCATGTAATTGTCATCATTGGCACTTCCTTCTTATTACTTCATGTTGTATATTAATTTCAAATATCATGAAAAGCTGGTTTTTTTTTAAGATTATAAAAGACCAGAAAGCAGTATTTTGTAACTGATATGCTGACCTATCTAATTCAAGTACGGCAAAATATGATTGAAGGCAGAGTGAATGGTTTTCTACCTACTGTTGTCGTATGTGCTCTTAGGTGAGACTCCTGGTTAGGAAAGCATTCAGCTGTAGGTGAATCATCACACATGATTGTACTGTTACGTGGAAGTGGACACAAATCTCAAAGTTAAAATTCACTTCAAAAAGAAATGTTTTCCACAGCTTCAAATGTAAATCGTCTTTTGCACTGTAATGATAATTAGATAGGTAACAAGCGTAGTATTAATACTAACATATCATCAATGCAGTGGCACATTGACCTTGACTGCCAGAATTCTTAGCAATGTTCCCATGACAAGAAGACAGCAAAACCAGAAAAAGCCTAGAAAAACCTCTTATCCATCCGTCAGGCTCGTGCATACATTTTTTCACTGTTCACCAACCCTGTGAAGAAGATGACACTTTATAGCATATTTAGGTTATTAATGTAGCTACTTCAGACCAAGACATGAATAAACTCTAAGGAAAAATTGTCACTAAGAAAAGCTCATGAGGAGCCATCCACTCCTACAACGTTTGATTCAGCTGAAGTATATCCCCTGAATGCACATCACCGTAAAAGAGGTGGTCACCAGCCAAGCCCTAGGGCTCTATGTCTTAAATGCCACACGTGCATTGGTGTAGAGACAGGTCATATTGTGAAGGAAGAATTGTGTGCTATTGGATGAAAAATTAATAAGAAATCTCTGCATTTTCTGCTATTATTATATTTGGATAGTGGTGTTAAAAATGGTAAATCTTTGCTTCACATAAAACACTGATTATAAACTGAAGAAAAATGTTTAAATATAGGTACAAATGGTTTGGATGGAATGTATTGTAATTAAATTGTAAGTATTGGAGTAATTTCAAAAAAAGAATACATGTTAAAATACATTGACATAGTTAAAGTGATACTGGTTGATGAAGACCTCTGGAGGACATCTGGTACAACCCCCTTTGAGCCTGCCTGTGGGGTACATGGTCTCTTTGAGCTCCAGTCTCGCTCTGCACCTCCTGGCATTTGACAACAGACATTATTTGCTGGATGACATATTTGGTTTTCCAGAGTTACAGAAAATACTACTGAAGTCTCAGAAATCCTGTATTAAACTGTTACTCTCAATTGCTGGGGCTATGAGTTTGTTCCGACTATCTATCTAATTTGTTCTGGGCAATTTCTAGTGTTTACAGTATTTTCACATACTAGGCTTTTCTAAGGTCTGTTGCAAGTTTTCCCACTGCTGAGAAATTATTTGCTGGATGACATATTTGGTTTTCCAGAGTTACAGAAAATACTACTGAAGTCTCAGAAATCCTGTATTAAACTGTTACTCTCAATTGCTGGGGCTATGAGTTTGTTCCGACTATCTATCTAATTTGTTCTGGGCAATTTCTAGTGTTTACAGTATTTTCACATACTAGGCTTTTCTAAGGTCTGTTGCAAGTTTTCCCACTGCTGAGAAAGATTTCTCTTTTATGGGTTTAAAATTTGATGCTCTGATCTCTAACATTTGAACTACTATCCCTGTCCTTCCATCAATTAAATCAACAGTTTGGTAGTTACTTTGGCGTTGAAGGTAAGCAATATCAGGCTATTAATGACCATCTTTTGTCCAAGCTGTATGAAGAGAAAGTAAGGATAAGAATGTAGTCTAATTTATTTTATTTTGAACTTTCACATTAATTAATTGTATGCTGACCTTTTTCCCTTTTTTTTTTTTTTTCCTTGCCAAAAAGAGTCACATTAATTAATTGTATGCTGACCTTTTTCCTTTTTTTTTTTCCTTGCCAAAAAGAATAGAAACTTCATTACAGAGGTATTAAGAGAAAATTATAGTACATGTGAATAGGATTAGGTACTTTAGGAAGTCTCCTATATTAATTCTTATTTGTGTTACCAAAACTAAATGGAAACTGATAAAAGCTGAAGAATAGATATTTCATTAAAATAATGTTGATGAAGAATTGAGGCTGATCAAGTGATGTGGAGTCCAGGGAAACAACCCACCTTGGCATGTTTCAGCAACGTGGCATTGAGATGTATAGATAGGCCACATGATAGTTACACAAATCATAACACAGTAGCAGGATTAAGATTGCACATTAAAACAAAGAGCTTTTCTGTCTCTTCAGTCTTCATTTAGATGAAATTGTAGCTCCCTCTGCCTGACATATTTTTCTTCATAATCACATTTCCTTCCAGGATTTATTAGTCTTTGTACTTTGCATTGTACATGTAAGTACAGAAACGGTCACAGAAGCTATAAAATAAATAACCTCTTACCAATGTATGGGTAATCAAATTTGTTTCTATATTACGGTGTATAACAAGTTCTTCAAAATAATTAACTTCAGCCTCATCTTCTGAAAGCTACTTCTGAAAAGTTATTTCAAAGATAAGATGGAGAAGGATAAAAGGAAATCTATTACATTTTTAAACAAATCCTTCTCTCAAAGAAGCTGGGAAAGTACAAATGTCTAGTTTGACTGATCAAAGTTCTATTCACTGTATCTTTAGGGGAGAAAAGAAAAACTTTACTGTATTTCAGACTGAAAATTATGAAAAAGCTCAATGCTGCTTCATACTGAAGAGGTCTGCTGTATTGTTAGTTTATCAAGCTTTATTGAGCTTATGCAAAACCAGAGAAAAATGCTGAAAAAATTAATGTAGATTACAAGTCAGAAAGCTCACAGTGGCCAAATCAGGCACCTGATGGAGAAGAGCTTTCCGGCCAGTGGTTGAAAAGAGCTGTATTAAATCTAGTGGCAGCCTTTTCTCTTTTCTGGCAATTCTGAGAAATACAACATGATTCTCCTGTGGGGACCTCTTCCCAGTCTGAAGACACTTCAAAATGCATCTTTCTCCTTTTTAAACATCTTGATTGTCTTGCTGGAGTTCAGTTTCACTTAGTTGTCTTCCAAGTTGCTGTCACTGTTCTAATATCAACAGCAGTTTAAAGACTTGGACTTTTGGAACTACTTGATTGTGAAAATTGGAGCTTCCTTTGGAAAAGTAAATGTAAAGCCTCATGATTGTAGGATAAATTTTGAAAATGCAGGTTCTAACAGTTTAAAGGGAAGTAATATATAACTTTTATTTCCCAGTCTGAAGACACTTCAAAATGCATCTTTCTCCTTTTTAAACATCTTGATTGTCTTGCTGGAGTTCAGTTTCACTTAGTTGTCTTCCAAGTTGCTGTCACTGTTCTAATATCAACAGCAGTTTAAAGACTTGGACTTTTGGAACTACTTGATTGTGAAAATTGGAGCTTCCTTTGGAAAAGTAAATGTAAAGCCTCATGATTGTAGAAGAAATTTTGAAAATGCAGGTTCTAACAGTTCAAAGGGAAGTAATATGTAACTTTTAGTAGTAGTAGAAAAAGAGGGCAAATTTGTTTTTACGTTTGATTGGCTACAAGTCATTAATTTTAAAAAGCAGGATGGCTAGTTTTTGTATGGATGTTTTCAATTTCTGCTGAAAAGTAGACTGCTGTAATTATTCATCTATTTATTTATTTACTAAATCTTATTACCAGAGTGCCAATTAAAATGTTGACCCTCTTGTGAGGGTAATTATTCATCTATTTATTTATTTACTAAAATCTTATTACCAGAGTACCAATTAAAATGTTGACCCTCTTGTGAAATGTAGTTGTTACACGTTGGTTGCTGACTTGTGTGGTTTATTGCGGGCACAGACAATATTTATGACTTCTCTTTTTATTTCTAAGGTTTGTCGAGTTGCCTACGAAATTATGCAGACGTTGCATCCAGATGCTTCAGCCTATTTCCATTCTTTGGATGATATCTACTACTTTGGGGGACAGAATGCCCACAACCAGGTTGCTATTTATGCTCATCATCCACGAACTGCTGATGAAATCCCTATGGAACCTGGAGATATAATCGGCGTAGCTGGAAACCACTGGGATGGTTATTCCAAAGGCATCAACAGGAAATTAGGAAGAACAGGCCTGTACCCATCATATAAAGTTAAGGAGAAAATTGAAACAGTCAAGTACCCTACATACCCAGAGGCTGACAAGTAGATTCAAAAGAAGACATTTGACAGTGATTCTCAATTTTGATTGGTTCGAACCAGTCGATGCACTAACTAATGGTTTATATGGGATTTGAATATGCATTTTAACATGCAGTTAAAATCAAAGCCTTTAGTAATGAAACTGGATAAGAAGCTGAGAACAAATGGATGGGCTATTACCTGAACTTACTCTGAAAACATTTTTTGTTATATGCACTCTCACACATGCACACACAAACCCACACGCAACAGGAAAACTGTTGTTTTATACTATTTGTCTCTTTTCAGGATTTGTCCCTGTCATTAGTCTTACATGAGCTTTGGGCTCTTTTCTCTGCCATTAATTGACAATAATGTTTAGACTTATAACACTGCCACATTGTGTAATTTGAGTGACATGAACATATTTTGTATGTGCAAAATTTAAAACATGGTGCCTATATTTGAAAAATTTGTGACCTTTTTAGAAGAGCCATGCCTGTTTCCCAATGGGCAAGAGTCAGTCTTCAACTGGTGTTACCTTGACCACTGAACTTGCTTCAAACAACAGATTCAGATTTCAGACTAGATTTCTTTACAAGTTTATTTTTAGCATTTCATTGATTACTTCTCATCATTAATAAAATAAAGGATACATCCAACAATAAAATAGTCACTGTCTGTTAGGAACTTTTGTAAAACAATGCCATTAACGGATTCTTTAGTACTGATAATGTTTCTGGACATTGCCTTTGATTAAAAAAAACCAAAACCAACAGTAAAACCCACAAGGGAAAAAGTAGCTGGAGTTTCATTGCATTTTTAAACGCTCATTATGTAGTACCACAACTGCTGGTGGCACAGTGTTTCTCAGTTCTGGGGATGGTGGTTTTAGGAGAATGACTTCAGTGGCTCAATTTGTTGCATTTATTTTCTGGCGATGTTATTTTACCTTCTGTGTTTCTCTTCCGAAAATATTTTTGGGGGTATTTATAGGTAGACACTTATCATTTTGGCATTGAATATAGTTACTTTTAAGTAAAATACTCTAGGTATCCCATTTATAGAACGTGCCAATCTAGAGTACTTTAGAAAATTCTAACAACTTACCCAGAAAATAGTAGGTTCCAAGAAAATATGCACAAGGTTGAACTTTAATGCATGACATAAAATTGTTAGTAATGCTTAGTTCTGTTGCTAGTCTGCTCTCTATTAAGAAAAGAAATAATTTGCACAACAGCTTTACAAACAAATTTGCAGATTTGGGCTTTGTGTGTGTGTATATGTATATATAGATATATATAAAAAAAAATACAAGATATCAAGAGATTATTTCCAAATAGAAATAATTTTAATAGCATTATGCTGATTCTAGTGCAATCCAATCTGGAATACTGGAAGTGCAGGAAATGTTTACTATTCAGACACTGAGAAAATGCCACATGAGTAAAGATTTAAAAACCATGGCTGGTTGACCTTAAGAAAGCAAAAGTTAAAAGGATATTTAATTATATTTATGAATAGACCAAGAACACTGTTGACATAACAAATGGATGCACTTGTCCATGAATAAATTTTAGGCTGAGAAGTAAAAGGAAGTCTCTGGAGGTGTGAAGCAACAGTATTCTAATTGAAATAGTGGTGAGTAAGATGGAACTTGATTGGGATGTAGCAGAATTTATGAAGTGGTTCTCTTTGACATTACTTGCAGGACTGATCCTGTAGATCCCTTCCAGTTACGTGTTCCTCAACTGAAAAACTAGTACAGAAATATCAGTAAAAATGCACATAGATACCAAATGGGATTTAAAGAGGGACTGAAGGATAAAGCCAAATGGGTAAGAGTGGCCAAGAAATTCAAGATTATTATTTTTTGTAAGTGAAGATGACTAGAGTTTACCGATGTTTCTTTATATTGGAACTACTAAGGAAGCTGTTCAATGTTAGTTTCCTGTCTGTGATTCTAATAGGTTTTCCACTAACATAGCCAAACTTGTGGTATTTCAGAGGCACAAATGTAAGCTAAATTATAACTTTTTTTTTTTTGGCACAAATGTAAGCTAAATTATAACTTTTTGTTTAAATTGAAATTTGAATTGTACATATAAAGCTATTGCTACTTCCCTTTTCTACTTGAAAAAAAAAAAATCCAAACCCACAAGCATTTCTTCCTCAATAATAAGATCAGTGCATTTTCTTTCATAAAGCTGCTTCAATTATTTCTCCACAAATATTATATTATCTACTGGATATTTATAGATTTTGAAAATGTTTTATTTTTGAAGCTCTTTACTTAACAAGAAATTAGGAGCTCTGAAGTTAAAATGTTTTATTTTTGAAGCTCTTTACTTACAACTTCAGAGCTCCTAATTTCTAGTTTATTTCTTGTACTGTGGTGCAGAAATAGTATTCATAAATGAATTAACATATGAAAATTCCTTCATAGTCAGGTAACTCAATTGAAAATATCACTAAAGAAGGTAAACGGCAGAACATCTAAGATGAGCCCAAAGGCAAGAGCAGATCTTCTGATGTAGTAACGAGAGAACTGCAAACACTGATGTTATAGAAGACATACCTATATCATGTGGCAATCCTCGACTGAATATAAAGCTGACAAAACATTGGCAAGGTACATGGGCCCCCTTACATATTCTAAGTATCTAATGAATAATTAGTTCATTATCTTTGAGCAAATGATCACGAAATGGTATGAAATCCTAAAATTATTGTTATGTACTAATGTAGATGCTACTACCTTGTTCCCCTGGACAGTATGATCCTCTAGTGCTTATAATGCAGTACTTCTCAGAGGAAGGAACCCAGCAATATGTGACTTACTAGATGTATCTCTTTCTAGAGATTTGTCTCCTTTAAGACTACCGGTTAGTTACGTCTTGGAATCCTCGGATCTGGGGACATTAAAACTGAGTTTGTTTTATATTAAACAAAATTAATATTAGAGACTTTATTCTCGGTTATGGTGGAGTTCAGGTACTGTAAAAGTATCCATGGATAAATTGAGACCCCCAAATTTTTATTGTAGCTCACAGAAAAGTGGAATAACAGGAAAGAAAAATTTTGTCCTAAATACCTGAATCTTGAAAGATGTGAGCTCACTAAGACACTAGCCAGAATGCTTGCAAGCAAGCTACTATACATCTTGTTTCTTCCCTTCGCCTTGTCGCTCTGCAACGATCCAGCCATGTACTTTTTGCCTCATACCAAACCACCAAGTCTGACGTCTATAAAACAGACAGCCCTCATACTCTTTTAAACAAGCTAATGTTTAATTAAATTTTTTCTCTATAAGAAGCATTTGTGTGTGTGTGCGCGCGCGTGCGTGTTGTGTTCATAAAAAAGACTATGAACAGAACTTTTCCCTTCTTTGCTATTTTACATTATCATTCTCTGTAATGACTTATGTTCCGGGTAAATGTAGTCTCTGTGAAGTGAATATTCTACTTGCTTCTTACCAGCTGGGTTAAGAAATTTATTCTGACTAGGTCAGTTAACTAGATTTCTGTGACACTGCTTCACCTGGAGACTGTGGTCATCGTCAGCAGTTCGCTGCGTCTGCCACAATGACACCAACCTGAGGTCGGTCCTTGATCTTCAGTCAGATGCACAGGATTCCCAGGCCTCCTCTACCATCATCCTATCCCTGTGAACTGTGGGGTATTATGGATTTGTTCATGAAGTGTGGTGTTTTATTTCAGAATTTTTAAAATAGCTGTCTTCAGAGGAGTCTTTTGTCTACCTTCTTTACCGCTGAATTTTAAGGAAACTTGCAGTTACTAGAAAGATTTATCCCCATTACCAATTTTTCAGAAAAGAGAACTGATGATACCTTTCTTATGGAGAGGCAATCACAGTGTAAAAATTTGCTCCATAATGGGTTTTATGTTGCCTTGATACACAATTAATAAGTAAGGGTCTTGGCTTATGAGCTAGGAACATAATAGAATATAAAATAGAAAATGTTCATTACAAGTTCTTGATAAGGGGAGGGAGATTTTCCTTCATGCCAGTAGAGCAGCACCTACAATTTGGAACTGTTTTTAAAACAGTGAATTGAACTTTTGTTTTTCCAGGTCGTAAGTTTCTTTGCAATGTAATCTCTCAAGTGTCTAAAGAATCCAGGGAAAAACCATTTGCTTAGTTTAGGAGTTGGGAAGGAGAGAGTCTAATAAGAAAGCATGGTGTTGTACTTCTAATTTAAGTTTCTATTTCAGTTTATAAAACTACAAATAAACTTTCAGTGATGGATTAAGGACCTCTGCCAGCAAAATCATTCTGCACTTTGCCAGAATTACTTAAAATTTGCAACTCCTATTTTGATTTTGCCCAATACCAGTCCTAGTCATGTATAAACATCATGCTGGTCATACTCTGATCATGGATTGTTACTGTATTACAGTTTCATTTCTCATTTGGGTGGCTTGGGAGCTGGCTGTCAGAGGGCACAAACTTTGGTTTACTTATCATCTTGCATGAAAATTGCATTTAAAATTCACAAAAATTACATTTCCCTAAGGCACCATCAGAATTCTAACTGCAGTCTACAGACCTATATGTACCTACAACCTCATAAGGAGCAAGACTGAAGAAAAGAAAGTTATGCATAAATATCAACCACAAAAGGGTTGAGTTAGACTTCATAGTATCCTGTACATTTCTAAAAAGCATGAAAAGTGGCACTGCGTTCTACGAATAAGAGGATAGTATAAAATTTCCAAGTCTGAAAAAAATAAAAATTGCTAGTCTGCCTGTGTGAGTGGTTACAAGAGTGTGTACAAGATTATTTCAGAATCAAAGTTCATAAGGCAGAGGCCTTCCAGCATTACTGCAGGCATCTGGGAATCCCTTCCATTGAGGTGTTTGCTGGTCTTTACCATTTTGGTACCATGTACAAATACCTACCAATACTGATGATGTTTGCTAATTAGTGGAACCTTCCTTCATTTTGTGTGCTTATTTTCTTCGACTTAACTTACTTGTCAGCAGAATCCTATTGCCACTTCATTCAAGCTTGAATTAATACAAAGGGATACCAAGTGTTTGCACCAAACTCTCTTTACTATTGCTCAAAATTAACTTCACACTCTTAGGCTGGCTCCTGAGGAGACGCTGTTGAGGGAAGGAGCAATCTCCACTGGACTATAATGTGCATCTTCTATATTGCTGACACATACGTGTGCTGCTTTTACTTTCAATGTTGCATGATTTTTCCACTTTACACAGACTCAAGATTTTGTTTTGATTTTATTATATTTAAGAAGGAGCATGATTTTCTTGAGCATGATTTGACAAAGTTCCAACTATCCTACATTTTCTTCAAGGGGCATATTGGACCTCACTCCGTTTCCTCTAATTGTCTAAAATACATCCTCCAGCCACAGCGTATTAATAGAATCATTTAGAACAATGTTTCCTGAGGACTATGACCTTTTTTTTTTTTTGACCCGCTGCCTACTTGCATCTGAGCCTGATCTACTGTGGTTGTATGGACCTTCTTCAAACCTTTCTGCTTAGTGTGTTTTGATTTCCTAGCCTAGTGGCTAGTGGTCATTACTTGACCAGGAAGTGTCTATATTTGATTTTTCATAATAATGTAAAATTATATTTCTTGCCAGTTTTTATTTATTTATTTATTTATTTATTTATTTTAC